AAATGATACTATGTGTCATTATGGTCCATTCTCCTCGATGAACAAGTACATAAGTGATAATTTAGTCAAAGACGAGAAAACTACACAAGAAATTTGCCTTATTTACACGTATTGGCAATGCAAGCTGCCATGCGACTTCCCCTTCTGACGTCACAAGGGAATTTCTGTATGCAAATAAGAAGCTAATGAGAAGCCTCGTTTTAAAATACACAAAAATAAAATTGCCATAGATTGAGTTTAAAACACATTTTTTCACTTAAAAAAATAATTCATGCTTAGAAACATAAAAATTAATAATATTTATGTATCAATGGATAATTTTATGCGTGAAAATAGCAGCCATTTCACAGGCACTTTAAGACCAACAAAAATGTATTGCGAACTTGCAAATATCGCAATTTCTGGAGGGAAAATGCTTTTACCACACAGTAAACTCCAAAATAAACTCTGATCGTGATTTAGGTATATGTTTTTGCTGTATCGTGAGTTACTGGCGCTGTATTCATCCACTTTTCCCGGGCAAGACCCCCTGCTTTATAATGTATGTAAAAGTTCGTACATCTTATTGGTGTGTTAATCGAAGAATCCAGTGTATCATTTGAAACCTGTTTTCCATTGTAGACTGATTACTCGAGACTAATTGCTCATAGCATTCGAGGAAATTACTATCTCATCTAACTTCCGTCGTCGTCATTGTCACGTCATCGATCATATGATAGCGGAAGTTCTATGTGGATATATGAGGAAGACATCAATATGTTTAGTAGAAATATGGATAGTAGAAAGTATGACTCGAAATGAATTGATGTTGAGAAGGGGGTCAATAAGGGCGGTGGTCGTCGCGCTGCGTCCTTTCGATATAGGACTCATATTGACGTAAAAAAACACGTGTAAAATACGTTGTTTTGTTTAGAAGAAATTCGGAGACGCGCTAGGCGACGACCACCTCTCTTTTTAAAAAAATATGCCACCAATACTAATAAAATAGGTCGACGATATATGGAGGAAGGGCCCGAAACCACAGTCACGCGTAAAGTAGCTCTGTTTTTTATCGGTTATATGTTCATTTCAGAAACGTACAATGTGTATACACTAGGTAGTTACAGCGCTAATTACGTGTCGATATCAATTAAAGAAATTTGTAACACGTACAGAATAACTGTATTGATAAATTATATACTATTTACCACCGAAAATAAATATATTAATGTGGACCAATCTTGGCGCATCTAGCGGGGGAAAAAAGGTATTTTGAATCACTGAAAACAAAAACTTACAAATGTGGAGGTGGTAGTCAACGCACCGCGTCCTGTATGTAACTCACGGTGACATACTAGTACACAACACGTGTAAAATACATTGTTTGTTTGCACAAAGATCAAAAGCATATCGAGACTAGTGAAACGTGCCCCAATAAAACCTAAAATGAGAAAACAATTTACGTCATTTAATGAGACAAACGGAAATTTGAAAACTATGCATTTAAAAAATATTTTGGAATATCTTGGAAAAATTTATGGCAACTTTGAACATAAACAGATCAGAGATTATATAATCCCAAACCTCTGACTAACTTTATCGACTTTTAATTTTCACTGACATCAGATTTAACTTTTTTGATATTTTAATCCTATTCACTGGGATTTTAAGATCTCGAATATGCCACAAGCTGAGTAAGCATTGCTTTCTATTGTTATTTCACAAGTTCGCATGGATTTAATTCAGAGTATTCTTCTTATCCGCGGAAATATCGAAATTAAAACCCATTAAATAATGGATACATTTACAGTACTGTAAACCGTTCAATTTTCACTTATAGATTTATTCGCGATTTAGCGATTTGATGGCATATAAGACAGATTTTCGCATGTGTCAAATAAAATGATTATGCCTATATAATATCGTTTGTTGTTATATTGGTGGGAACAACAAATTGCGGAGAATTTTTTGGGCAAAATTAGAGTGGTGTATAGTTTATTCTCACAACAACAGTTATGAACAGTCCAAACAAAGAACGCTCTTTATTGAACTTTATTTGGATGTATGATCTGGTGTTTGTTCTGGTGTTCTGGTGCATCAACCTCTGCACAGAAACCAGAATTTCATGTATAGCGTTCTAAGCCAAAAACCTGACAAAAACATAGGTCTGTTACATACACGCCTACGTAATTGAAATTTATCTAAATTATCCTCATCAGAACAGTTTAGTTTTGAATGCAGATATTGAACAATTAATGCTATTATGTCAAGGCGTTTAGACGAAGACGCTAAGACGGTGATTATTTACCTATTGCGAATGCTCGACGACGGAGGAAGTTGGACTAACGAGAGCAACGGTTCAAGGGATTGTGCGGCATTTGTGTCGCATCGGTTCCGACCGGTTGGATACGTCCCGAGAGGAGTAGCGGCTTCGTCAACTGAAATCGTAGAGTTTATCGAATTTTGTCTGAGATCTGAAGGAGTTTCAAACTGGTATATAGTGGAGGTTAAACTAAGTAGAAGATTCCAGGGAAATATTGGCCGGTGAGTGTTCCGGCAAATTGGCAATGGGACCAGCCATTATGCGAGAACACTCCAGCCATTATGCGAGAACACTCTCAACGCTGATATTATTAATATAAATCCGAGTCCATTGACAGCATCTTAACAACCTACCAATCAAAAGAATTTAAATTTATCATTTCTGATTAATATTTATTTCCAGTTCGCATTATATTTCTCCCAAGTGTTACACAGCAATGATTTTTATATCTACAAAGCATTGGAATAGTCCAACTACCCCTCGTTCCTCGTGGCCAAACATCAAAGGCATTTCGGTCTCGATGTTTTGATTAACTGTCACGCGGCCATTGGAGTGTCTAGGAAAGTGCCTGTGGATGTTGCAAAGTCCCTCGGTAATTGCCTACCGGGTACGGGAGTTAGATGTATGTAAATATCTTGCGCCCACTGTAACAATGTAAGTTGTATCATATAGGCATTCCTATTCCGTCCTTTATGCAAATTTTAATGATGATTTTATTGATGATTATTCAGAAGTTACAGAGTAACATCATACCTTCGAAATATCGATAACATACATATTTGTATTTCGAAAAGAATTATTTGATGTTAGTAAACAGAAATATTTTTCGTAATATTGAAAAATAATGAAACTGCATGTGACAAATAAAATAAAAATGCCTATTGACTATCGTTGACGTCATGTTGGTGGGAACAAAAATTTGCATTTCCTCCCGACCCCCTTCCGGATTTTATGTATTTGCATCAGACTTTGCAAATGTTTAGCTTTGCATCGAGTTATTTTGATGATTATTTTACTGAGTAGAGGAGAAAACAATCTCTAGTAAGCAGATTTTACCTTTCTTTGTTCAAAATCGTCAACAGTCCTCTACTGCTGGGAGACTCAATTATAATGCATTTGTATAGACATTGACATATTAGTCAAAAATGTAAACAGACAAAAGTACTTGGAATAATGTGAAACACTGTTATTGTTTACTATCCTACCTTCTTTAATACTAATCTTTGATTGAATTTATGTTGATATATTGCAATTTCACATTTTATTTGTAACTTATGCAGCCTCTGATTCAAAAGATTGCAACAAATAAACACATATTAACAATATATATGACAACCAGATATGTCTTTTTAAGGCAGAACGCTATTCATGCATTTTTGGCAAGTGCACATATTTTAGCGCGTATAGTAGTGACAATATTTTGTTCTCAAATCAGTATGTAATTCACTGCAAACCTGTTTTTTTTTTTTACTTTGAGAATAACGTGACAATAACTAATACGCATAAAATGACAATTTAGCAGCGGTTTCCATAGACCACGATGATGACGCATTTCACAATTGAAATGATACTCAAAATAATGTCAATATTTTAATATAAAAGTGCAGTGCAGTCCTGAACAACAAACCAACTCTCTCCATCATTATAATTATTTATAAATTACACCATTTAAACTGTTACAATGACTGAGAATGGCCTTATTGTGTACTGGAAGGCCTCAGACAAGGTTGTGTTTTTGCGCCACTACTTTTTGCATTATACATTAATGAATTTAAAATCTGTTGAATGAGTATAACAATAGGAGAAGTACTTATTAATTTATTAATGGTTTGTTCTTTGCTGATGATATAGTCATTATTGCACCAAACAAGCCTCAGTTATTTAAAAATCAATGTTACATTTAACCAACAAGTTTTGTAAACTATGGAAAATGACAATTAATGAAGACAAATCAAAGTTCTAATAATAAATAAGAGAATTTACAAACAAAAAAGAATGGCAAATTGCTAATTGTAAGATTAAAGAATTATTTCAATACAAATACTTAGGCTACTGGATTACTCGCAACCTGACTGGCCATACCCATGCTATCAAGGTATCTGAAAAATTTAACAAATTATTTCCAGTAATAGCAGCAGTCTTAGGAAACCATGGTAACATTAACAAGGTGGATTATGGTTTGTCACTGTGGTTTGTCATTCTAGTGTAGTACGGCTGTCACCAAAGTACGCCGGTGAAATTATAGCACTTGGTCATTCAGATTTAGAAAAAAGCTGTTCTGAAACGTAGATTAGAAACAAAGAAATTAAAATACTTTAAGAGGTTAATTAACCCGAAAGAATCAAGATTGGTAAAATAGTATTTATTTATGTATTTAAATACCCACAGAACCGAACAAACTATGAAATTATGGAAATGGCAGTAAGACATTTATAATATAAATATAATAACAATTGTAAAATTAGACAAACAACAGTTTGAAAATATCACTTCTAATAAAATTAGACGTTTTCTTCTGAAACATAAGCAACTTGGAGGGGAAATATGAAAGATAAGTCTAGTTTAGTCCACTATAGGAAGTTCAAGAACAATACAAAGAATTTCGAAGCATATATGGAATCAGTGACAGATTTTTAAAACATTCCAACTGGAAGTTGAGGCAAGGTTCTACACTCTTGGCATGGAATATCAAAAAAGAAAATTAGAAAATAATACTTCTGAAGACTACATTTGCCAATGTTGTAAGAAAGAAGATGAAGCCCTGGAACATTTTGTCCTTCGTTGCAAATGTGTTGGAGTGAAGAGAGATAAGCTAATAGGGGGGGGGGGTATTTTACTGAATAGAGGAGAAAACAATCTTTACGCAGATTTTGAACTAACTAAATAAAGAAATATTATGCTTATTGCTGAGAGACACTACACAATACTATAATGATAACATTGGTACAGTCATTGAAAAATTAGTCAAACAATTTTCTATCAGTGTCACAGAGTCCAGACAAAAGTTTTCAGACTAACCCAAAACAATGTTGGTTTTTTACATTTTCTTTTACTTTAATACCATTATTTAACATTTTCTATAATTCTAACTTTTGATTCAATTTTTGTTTTTGTTTAATTTGTTGTGTAATGCCACTACCATAATTTATGTAGCTCCTATGTATTTATTCAACTAGTGAGCACCTGATTCAAAAGGATTGCAACAAATAAAATACACGTGAAAATAACCTAAAATAGACAAAACACTATTTGTAGTCTGATTTTCCCAACCCTATTTTTTTTTACTTTTCTTTTCTTCACCTCTGTCACAAAAATGTCACTCGGAATGTCACAAATGTAAAACTAAAGAAGCGACATTACTAGTATTTTTAACTTCTACCAAATTATGTGTTGGTGAACGTTATTTTATTAACGAAAACTGATAATTTGAATGAGTAAAACCAGAATAGTTCGATTACTTGATTTTGCGCGGCTATAACGCCTGCTCCAGGTTTCGAACGAAAGTTTACTTATTTGTGTTACCACATTCTTTAGTAGACGAAGCAAAACTCTCCGTTCTCCGTAAACGTTACCCCCGAAATAAAATGGCATTGTGGGTAATAATGGCGCTTATGCGGGCACGGGTAAATTTACCGCCATATTGGATAAGATATTGATGTGACAAGTGAGGAATTTTGACGTATTTCCTATACACAGACTTGTGGATTCTGACAACAGATCCAATGAATCTGCCGTGATATTTGTCTCTATGATGACTCAAGAGAAAGAAAGATACTATGAATTACTTGGCGTAGAACTGAATGCTCCACACAGTAAGTGTACTCCGAAAGCTTATTTTGCGTTTGGTCTGTGCTGTGATGAAGCCGTCGGAGGATTGCAATATAAACACTGCCAATGTTATGACACGTACAACATGGCATGCGTTTTATTCGACGACGACTTCAGCAGTGCACATTATAATTGTAAAAGATACACAACTTGTTCGTCCACACCCTTATCATTCTTTGGGGTAGTGTAATAACGTATACATATCACTTCTACATAATGTTTTCATAACTATTGTTGTGGACGTGTGTGTATATGTGTATGAAACCACTCTAGCTGTTGACTATAAGATCAGTGAATCCTACGTGATAAACCACTGATGATGAAGTGCAAGTCTTTCCAATGATTTTTGTGTCGCAGACATGTTCTCATTGATATCTTCTTTTCCATTGCTGTTGTCTTATTCGTGGCCCTGTTGGAGAATACCTGCGCATGCACAGTTGTTCTCCTTAGTTCATTGGATAAATGGACCAGAGGTCACGCTTTAGCTATCTCGCAAAACACTTTTTGATCTCACGTATCCTACCAAGGCAGCCTAAGATTCATTAGTCAATGACTAATGGCGTAAAAATAGATTGAGTTCAAACTGGACATGTTACCATTTCTACTGTGAGTTTTTTGGTGCCCTCTTTCTGAGTGCTCGTTCAAGGTTTATATGAAAGTCATTGAAAAAGGAGTGGCAACTTTAATAGTGTAGTACATACATGCATGCTGGTGAACTGTGTCCTATTTAATTTAGGCACACCCAGTGTTATGAATTTAATGAAACATGTTTTAATAAAACAAAAATGCAACAGCATACATCAATAATACAAGCAACCAATTCATTAATGGCTGGTAATTTATATGATTTCCTTTCACTACATTTAATTTAATCTGCCGATATCAAATTTCTCTATGTGAGGCATTTTTTTTTTTTTTTTTACAAACTGTCCAATAAAATTAACAGAACACAATAAATGGTGATTTTCTGTTGTTAAATTCCTTGTCAAAGTGAGAGCACTATAAAGAAGGCCTTTCTGTAAGTTGGTGATTGTAGCCTGCAAATGTAATCAAAGAAATATTAAACCAAGATCTAATGGTATCACTACTTGAACCCTAATCTTGTTAGCCCATGTACTTTTACAATTGACCACATAAGGGTTTAAGGACAGTGTGTTTAAATAATGTATTTGACCCACATGTTTAAATTGCAACTTATATTGTATAGGACCTTTACCAAACATGTTTAGCATTTCCGTTTATGGAAGCCCTATCTGTATTGTAACACACCCATGATGTGTCACACTTTCGTAAACCATTCTGTGGATAAAGACATAAAATGTTTATGCATTAGTTTTAATGTTATCACGATTTTTGATTAATTTTTTGTCTTCTGAACACAGATTTTGAGAGTACCATGATGGATATAGGGCTTCATTAATGAAGAAAAATTAAGCTCATATTCAGATGTAATTTTTCAAATGCATTCATACTCACGTTTACACAGAAGCCCTTTCAGCGTACGTAAAGAAATTATGCTTTAATTTATTATACTGTATTGAAATTTAACATTAATATTTGAGATAATTTGAATGGCCATTATAAAGATGACATTTGTTATGTTATGGTCACTGGATCTAGGACACGAATGAAATCTTCACCACTACAAAATCTCGTGATATCTGTGGTTCTGCTCTTCAATCAGCATAATGGCCTGTGGTACCTATTTAAAATTCTGCTAATATTTAAGAAAAATAGAGAATAATGACACGTTTGACTGTTCCATCTGTATAAAGCATCACTGTTGTTCCATGCCACCATGTTATAAATGGATACCATGTGACGTGTGCAACACATTGAAAATACATTGTCTAAATAAAGTTTAATTGTATTCTGTATGAAGACTTGCACATATAACTGAGCCTCAAAATAATACAAGTATAATTGCTGCTTCACAAGTTTCAAAAATTCCAAATTCAATTAATTGGAAAGAGTTATAACTGGCAACTGATTGACATTCACTACCGGTATATATTTACTGATATCAATTGGGTGTTTTCATCAGACTAGCCCTGTAATAAAAAAATGTTACAGTAAAATAAAAAATCTGTTTTGTAATAAATCCCCTCCCTTCCTCATTCTTTGCCTTTTTGGGGGAAGACCTGCTTTCCTCTTTGATCTTTAGACACCTGTTGTATATGTGATTATCATTGATATGGGTGAGAATATTTACCTGAGACCCAACCCACACATTGTTGAGTGTCATTTTAATCAATGTACATCCCCAATTGTTTGACGAATACTAGTCTCCTCAACCCAATGTGATGTAGATATCCATTATCTTGTGTTGCAAAACATGAATTTGTCTTTTGTGTCCCGAGTTGAGACTATTTGCATATTAGACTGGTCTATAACTAAACTTGCAAACAAGGGAGGCACTTTGATTTGATCCGTTGGGTTCAAATAACCTTGGCACTGCTTCTTTCACAAGGTTAAGTATCGCCAAGCATTTGAGTTTGACCCATGCAAACATGTATTGAAGGTGCAGGTCCCAATTAAACACTCTGAACTACTGTATACAATCTTGAAAGGCCTCGTTTACACTAAGGGTCAATGAATCAAGTTCCCAAGATTAGGGATAGTTGAAAAGCTAATAGATCTTCTTTTTTAAAAATCCAATACTATTGTATTTATTAGTGTATCACTTTGACCGCAGGAAAGAATAGAGCTGCAATATTGCATTATGGGATACTGTTTTGCTAACAAAATATATATACCTACATTACACAAAGTGTTCCCACAGAAAACAATGGCTTCATTGTGAGCACTGCAATGTCTCATACATGTACTGAAATATTGCTATTCCATACTTTTGGTCGCAGTAACATTCATAGGAATAAATGAAATTAGAATGGAATGGCCATGCTAAAAACTAACATAGAAACAGAGACCAAAATCCAAAATAAAAATGACAAGAATCAAGACACCATGTCTCCAATTGTAAGCTGAAATTACTTTCACTAATACCCGGTATATGACCTTTGACATGGTTACCTTCTGTAATTGTGGAGTGATACCTATAGTGATTTGACATGCCATTTTAAAAAAAAGGGACATTTTTTAAATAAGGAAGAATTTGTTTTAAAGGCCAAGGGCTAATAATGTGACACTAGCACATGTTATATCTCTGATCATTGGAATGCTTTCACAACAAAACCTTGGTATTATCAGAATACATATAAATTATAATAGTTTCATTCAGCACATTGCCTTTCCCCATTATTCATTTAACTTGAAAGCAAAACATGTGAACCCTAAAATGCTGTTACATTTAACACTTATGTCTTACAGTGTATCACCAGGGCTGATACTGTAGATCACAACCTCATGAATTCTGTGAATTCCCATAATTATACACAGAGGGCATTTTTCAAATCGTCCAATTTATTAATATATTCATGTTTATTTAGATTGAAATAGTCTAGCTTGTATTGCAATAGAGATGGCATTTACAGTCTAACCCCTTATGTTTTTCTAGGCTAATTTATATTTTTGAGCACATACAAATATCACATGTCAGATAATACCGTATTGTTATACCTTGTTTGTATGTCCGCCTGTCCTCTAAAAATAACATACCTGTATAATTGCATGTATTTAATGAAAATATCAGCCTTAGGACACAATGATTAACACTAAATGGATTATTGATTTATAATTAGTAGATACGTCTATTGTTGTAATCATGATAAAATTATCTATATTCGTTTAATCCCATATTTGAGCCGAGCCGAGCCTACTGGGTCGACACTATGTGTTTGTCAATATGTAGGTGTCGCCAGTGTTTGTCACTAATGCCAGAGTTGTTTGTCCAGAGGGCTTGCAAATTAAAAAAGTGACTAGGCATGTGTGTATGTTGGCCCAAAATAAAAAAATAAAAACAGAAGCACTCTTAATTTAATTCCAATTTTCAAATTGATTTTGATATTGTGTTGGAGATGCACAAAGAACATGATTTGTAAGTTTTCCTAATTCAGGCTGATACAGACTATGTATTTATTCACGTTTCATGAAATTTACATGTTTTAGAGAGACGTTTTCAACATGTTGGTGCATTGTAATGTAAATGTAAAAATTATAAAAAAGTGATAGGCTAAAATAAGGGGAAGACAGTTTAATCTTCTGAGGGGTCAAAAAGAGTTTTGTCCTCTATATTCCAATCCAGTATATGTTTTCGTTAGTATTGCAAATCAAAGGAAAGTTTATTTCTTAAAATGAAAAATTTGTGATAAAATCACCCAATATTTTTTTTTAGTCCCCGTTCGGGGGACTTGTGTTTTGACCTCTGTGTGTCCGTGTGTCCGTGCGTGCGTCTGTGTGTGCATCCGGACCTGTATCTTAGAAATGCCTGGACCAATCACAATCAAACTTCATACATACATCATACATGATATTATACATATGCACGTCAATTTGTTTCTTGATCTGATTCAAGATGACCAAATGGCAGCCATTTTTGTGCTAAAAATCATCAAAATCAAGCATTTCTCGGCTGTTTACAGATGGATTTTGTTCAAACTTGGTATATACATTAGACATTATAGGACCTTGATGCACATCATTTTGTTTTACAATCTGATTCAAGATGGCCGAATAGCGGCCATTTTTGTGCTAAAAATCATCAAAATCAAGCATTTCTCGGCTGTTTACAGATGGATTTTGTTCAAACTTGGTATATACATTAGACATTATGAGACCTTGATGCAAATAATTTTGTTTTTCAGATAAGATTCAAAATGGCCGACTGGCGGCCATTTTGTTTTAATGAATGTGGTTCTCGTGCCATATCTCTGACTTGCTTTCACTGATTATGTTCAAATTTTAAATATTCATTATACATCATGTCATAGATAGACAGATATATTGGTTTGACGATCCTATTCAAAATGGCCGAATGGTGGTCATTTTTGTGCTAAAAAATCATTAAATATCAAGCATTTATGGATGGATTCCGTTCAAACTTGGTACATATATTAGACATTACAGGTTCCTGATGCACATCATTTATTTTACAGATCGGATTCAAAATGGCTGTATGGTGGCCATTTTGTTTAAATGAATGGGCTTCTAGACCCATATCTCCGACTTGTTTTGACTGATTATA